ATAAATGGTTGAACATCACCACGTGTACCAACAATAAGCATTAAAATAGCAAGACGAGGTACTGGACCAGTTTCTACTATTGTTTCAGTTTCAGATCGTCCCGTACCGACTACATTCACCAATTCCCAATCTTCATCTAGATCAAATTTTTCATGTTGAATTGCTTTCTTCATTTTATCAAGTGAATCAATAAAAACATCGATAAGTCCATCGGAATCATCAAAACTAGCTGTATAATCAAGTTTTTGAAGTCGTCTTCTTGATCTATTTTCATTATAATTATCATATTTGATACTACCAGCACAAACACGTGGTATAAGCATTCGAGTATGTAATGAAAGTGCGTAACCTTCTGCTGAACAAATAGCAAGAATATTATCTGAATTAATTCGTAAATATTTTGTTAATTGAATTGATTTTGGTAGATTACCGGAATAGATCATTGTTTCATTTAACCATAATATTATTGAAGGTATTTGTTGATGATCTTCATCTTCATTTGAATAAAAATTCAAATAAATATGTTGTTGATAATCTGGTTTATGTTTCCATTCAAATTTTTTACGATACCAATATGTCAATGAATCAAATACAAATTCATAATGTGGTAAATTAATTTTTTTCCATTGATGATCATCATAATGCATTGAAATAAATTCTTCATTCGATGATGATTTTGCAAAATGTTTATACTTCCAATCACAATCAAAAAGTATAACTTGTGTCGAATCTTTATTATCATTATCAGTTATTGTTGTCATTATTTCTAACAAAATAAAACTTTAAAAATTTATTATTTATATATGCTTTTAAAAAAAAACATGACAACAGAATTCTGATGATTAATATGTTAGGAATGCGTAGTTGCAGAATCTTACTTAAGGGCACAAAGGAAAAAAATAAGTCTTCCGTTTTGTTCACGTTTTATTGCACATGTTTTTCTCTCGTTCTTCCATCAGCTAGTCGAATCTTTTTCGGTCGTATAGGATTACTTCATTTATTTACTTTCCTCGACATAACGGACTACACAATGACTATGTTACTACATATAAATGGGAGAGAATAGGAAAGAAAAAAAAAGAAAATGTCGTCTATTCTGTCTTTACGAAGACGAGCCAATGGAAGAAGAAAATAAATCGAAGTTTGTCATCGTTTTATTGATGATAAATGCACATGCTCAATACCGAGACGTTGAAGAAGACGCGACTTAATCCGATCAATGTCTTCTTGAATTAATTTAAAACTTAACGCTGTTAGCATAACTCCAAATAATAAATACATAGCACAGATAAGTGATCGCCCATTTCGATGAGTAATTGTAGTTTCACCCGGTACTAAATCACCAAAACCAATCGTAGTAAATGTAATAAATGAAAAATAAGCACTATCAATGTATGACCATCCTTCCCATGTAGCAAAAAGAAGAGAACCAGCAATAAGATAAAGAATTAAAAGAGTTATTGGCACCCAAAAAGGCACTTTTTCATCTAAATATATCTATGAAAATATTTCTTAGAATTTTATGCATAGTATAAAATGTATGTTTGAAAAATATTTTACAATGATGAATCAGTTTTAAATAATTATTTAATACTGAATTATAACGGTAAACAATCAATAATGAAAAAGTGTATAAATATATCGATGTTGTCAACATTTTTTGATAAAATATTGACAATCAATTATTCTTACATTTTATAATACCTCTTAAAACTCAACTCAATAGTAATAAAACATATAAATCATTCATACAATATCTTAATGCGTTATAATACCTACTTTTTCTCGTAGTGATATTTTTTTTTCTTTCAAATATCGTCGATAGCATCGACTTAAACGTTGATAATATTGTGTTGCTAATAATGCTAATGAGTCTCCTACTAATTTTAGCCATGAAACAACTAGAAGGATACCAATTAAAGCATCTAATAAAAAAAATCGAACAAAGATTAAAAACTTTTTGTAAAGAATTTAAAATATAATTTTACAAATAACTGTAGAAATTTTTCCCAATGTTGTTTTAGGTGAAATATTTCCATAACCAATTGTTGTGACTAATGTTGCTGCATATAGTATAGCTGTTGAATAGGTCCATTTATAAACAAATTTCTCTACAGCAACTTGTCGCATAGCTAAGAAACTATTCGGAAATCATCAGAACAGATTGAATGTTTGCAAACTGAGATAGACATAAGTTAGAGAAACCTTATGAATTCATGTTTTATGTTCAGTCCAATCTTTCGGAGCAGTTGTCTAAAAAATTGAAACAGAAAAGAAAAGTTAATCAGAATGTGAAAGTAAGAAATATTAGTTTTCGAGGAATATATCTGATCTACAGAATATCCTACAAGTTCATTGTGAAAAAGAATGTTGATTAGAGTCCTGCACAGAGTAGGCTTTGGAGTCGTCGTCAGAGTCAATTAAATATTTTTTGCCAAAAACTAAGCTTTAGCATAGAAATTTTCATGAATTGTAGATTTTGTTTTCTGATATTTACTTGATAAATTGATGCATTTTGAAGGTTCCAATGAAATCTAAACAAAATCTATGGACATGAAAGAAAGTCGGAGTCAAATTCAACTCTGATTTTGTTCGACTTTGACTTTCTTTCATCTCCATAGACCTTCATAGGATGCCATTGAAATCTTCAAAATACACTGGTTTATAAAATATTAGAGAACGAAACCTACAATTCATAAAAGTTCCTACGCTACAGCTAATTTTTTGGCTGAAAAATTTAGTTGACTCTAACGACGACTCTGAAGTCGACTCCGTGCAGGACTCTAGATGAAATAATTCAATGGTTAATGGTTACCTTTTATTTATACCAGTGTCGAAAGACAATTCTTCAAAACGTGACGATTCTTAAAAAAAGACAAGAATAATATGTCTTGATTGAGAACAATTACTCTTATTCTTGATAGAAATTGATTACTACAGTATCACTTAAATACTATAGTGAACTTATGGTTAAAATAATAATTTACTTTATTTCTGATACTTTTGGTTTCTCTATTGAGTTCGTCATTATTCAAAAACAAAATAATTAAACAGACTGTATGTTGAAGGACTTATGCATGTGTGTTGTGCTTGATTAAAAACTAGAAAAATATCTTGTCTTTCTTTCAGCATCAAAGCACAATCATGTAATGGTTTTGATCGACACATGGCTGGTCGAAAACCCAGTTGAAGTAAGATAATTCAATTAGCGAATGACTTCTAAACGTAATAATAAATTTTCTAATTCAAATTCTGTTTGATTATCCAATATTTTAGCTCGTTCACTATTTAAATAAATATAATTTAATAGCTTTTCATTATCCCATCTCCATTGTTGATAAGCATTTTCAAAATTTTCATTTAATTGTTCATTTAATAAATGAATAGCTAATGAACGAATATTTCCATATGTTTCACTAATTATTTCTTTTCGTTCAACATCTTTTTTTAAATAATATTCAGATTCAATAAATGCAAAAAACAGACCCCCAAATATAAGATAAACCAAAACGAAAACTATCAAACTTATTTGATGTAATATATAACGAACAAATAAACATTGACAATGTAAAAGAGATTTATTATCTTCTTAAATATAAATAATTGATTTTTTTAGAACATATATGTACTTAAAAAAAGAATAATCTCACTTGATTGAATTAAACGAACATCACCTTGTTTATCAAACTCAAGTAAAGGCACTGATGAATGCATTATTTCTTTTCGCATTCTAACACAATGAAAAATTATTATCGAATGATTACCAAATGGTTCTTTTGTGTCGATGATAATCATATTATTGACTGTTTATTGTCTTCAATCTATCAATAAATAGGATCAACATGTGTTTCATAGTATTCTATGAGATAGATAATGTATTCTGCAATTGATCATACATTTCATAATCTTTCAGAAGAAGGCTTGAATCGGAAATATAAAATAGGAAGAGAATGGAATTATGTGAAGTACAGATACTTATAAAAATATTTTATTTGCCTCGATGTAAAAAAAAAAAAATTTCCTATCTTCTTTCGATCTATCTCTAGTCTGAACACTTACATAAATACTTGTAGAAAATTCTAGAAGTTTCAAGTTTTGATTCACAATAACGTATTTCAAATGGCATTTCACGTTTTACATACTTCACATGTTTGAGAATTATATTATTATTTGTTTTCAACGATGATATTTGAAACGTAGTATAACGAATAAATTTTAATAGCAATAGTTTTCAGCTATATCCAATGCCGCAAAAATCGAATCATTTTTAGTGATAAACCGCCGGCTTTTTGCCGACTTTTTTCACATTTGGAACTATTCAAAAATGATTTTTAAAATCATCAAAAACCGATGCTTTGCCACAGTCTAATGTGAAAAATGACCAGCTGACCGGTTAGCCACGGTTAATTGCAATAATGTGAGTCGATGGTCGGACCGGTAAAAACGTTGGTTTTTACTCAGTTTTCATTATATAGGTACGGAACTCTCAGCTAAATCATGCTTGGTCGTGTACAGTCCTTTACCAATCAATTACGATGGAAATGGCAGTTGTTTATAGTAGTTGTATACAATAATCGTAAACGATGCTTTATGGTTTATTATGGCGGTCGTGAATGATAGCTGCAGAAAATTGTCATTGATAATTTGCGTAACAATTAGACATCAGTGTGATCAAAAATTTGTTTATGGTCTCGATCGTCATCGTGAGTCATGAAAATTCTATTGACTGTATTGGTACGATATCTTTTTGTCGCCTATGTGCACATATGTTACACAGATAGAATATTGAATAAATACTATCTCTATTGATGGATGTTATGACATACAAGCTGTTGGATGTGATAGGACACGGGAGAAATTTTGTGGTCAGAAACAGCAAAATAAACCTAATTATCAAGTTCAATGAAAAATATAATTATATCGTCAACAAAAATTCTTCAAAGAGAATTCGTAATATTTAGCGTCAAGCAATGACTCTTCTGGAATTTTTCAAAAGCTGAAACAGAAGGATAATGTGTACACAGTTTGGGTTTACTTTAGTATCATTCATTTTCAAAAAATCAAAAAAGAGTATGTCATTTATTATTCATGCAAATCGCTCATCTCTTACAATTTCAGCTAATAATACCGGTGGTACACAAAAACATTTCGAATCATATTATAAAATTTTTCATCTACTTGCGGATCAAAATGAAACCAACATAACAAAAAATAATTTATTCCAACCTAAAGTTAATCAAATTGTACCTTCTTCAAAGTGGAACATGAAATTACAGATGCATTAACAGAGTTCCTTATTCTTGATCGTAGAACAGTTGAAGTCATCAATGGTTCAGATTTTGTTAACCTCATCGAATGTATTCTTGATGCTAGTCGTACTTTAATACGATCATCCACTATTAGTGCAACTGGTTTAATTGCTGATTTACGAATGGTAAAGTTCAAATTTTTTGTACGTGTCTTATCTAGCTTTTAGTTTTCAGATAAGTCATCATGTAAATAGACTACGAAGAATGTAAATCTCAATGAATAAGTTTATACCAAACAATCAAATCTTTTGTTATCACGGTTAATTTTTAGAACAAAAGCTTGTGGTATTGTGAATAATGAGGGCCGTATTGATGATATTCCTTTATTCGTGTTGAATTAGAAAAATTAAATTAGTTATTGATACGTATTGAAAGAGTCATAAATGTGATATGAAACATACAATTTTCTGATGAAATTAAAAGATAACAACATGTGTTCATGAGCAACTATAGACTTCTAAATGTATCAACACTTGCTTATCACTAAAGTCGAGAGACAATCGTGAGTTTCGCTTGACACACTATTCTCGTAGCTTTTACTACGTTTATCATTATTTTTGTTTTTGAAAAATCAGTTAATATGATACAGGTTATCGGTAAAATGTACGAATCTTACATGTGTTTCCATAGCAAAGCGAACGTTTTTACAAACATATGTGAATGGTGTTAGCATACTGATCATGTAGAGCGCTACTAAACCAACCCGAGTAATGTATATCTGTATTTTTCCATGATTTCTATTAAGAAAAAACTTCGATTTTTACACAAAAACGTAGGTTCAACAATGGAGACCCAATTGAATCAAATTATGTGGTTATTGCTTGATATCCCTTGAAAGATCAACTAAATTAAGTTGCAAAATTAAATGGTTTAAAAAAGTGAAAAAAGATTTCGATTTAGTTGCCTTGCACCTCATTTCTGAAACACGCTCTAGCACGAATATCATTAATGATGACTTCAAAGAAGAAAGTGAAATTTGGATTAAGCTGTACCATATCTTATAATATACTATTTATACAATGTTCTCCTTCTAAATACAACAAGCCTTAGATTGATGTTTCTTCAATTCTACTGAATACTAAGAATTGATAGACATCGATATGCTATTACTATGCCGCCAAGATGCCTTAGACTTTTGAAGATCTTCTTCGTGAAAGCTACCTCATTTATACTAGTTTTAAAAGAGAAACAGGTCTTTCATAAGAGAAAGACTATTCTTAAACAGCACTCTTACTTGAAGCGCTTTTTCAAATCTGAAACTGTTTATTTGATAGGAAAAGGTCTTTGAAAGCTTTCTTCAAAGAACTTTCAAATACAGCGATTTTCAATCTAATTGAGTCAATTTCCATGGTATAAGGCATTTTAAAATCTTTTCTTAATCATCACCTCTGTATAAGATGAATTTTAATTGAGAAAAAACGGATTTTGTGGGGAAAAGAACTTTTTTGGATACGCATCATTTCTAAATCTTTTTTTTTCGACTCCAGAATACAGACTCAGCGACCTGAACGATGACAATAGATAAGGTTTTATTGATGTGTACTCTTTTTTCTACTTACACTCGGTAGGATGGTTCACGTGGATATACGATCATCTCCGCTAGAATACGACCCTATTGCGGTACGAATATCAATGTAAGTGACGTGCATATTTTGATGTTACGACATGAAGTTGTACGAGCATAATATTGTTCCTACGAAATGTGCTATTTTCAGCCCGTGTTCGGTCGTTATTACACCGTTCAGAGATGTTTCTAGAAACGTAAACATTTATATATCGTCGTTCATCATATATTGGAATCATGAAACTGGGTATCATTGGTTGTAATCAGGTGACTATTCTTCATACAAAACGTGTTCAAAATAAAACTTTTTGTTTGCTTCTTAAGAAATATTGATGAGCAGAAGTCAATTGGTATAAAAAGTTCTAAAGTTTGTTTAACTATGTTTAGATTAATCTTGATAATTTACGATCGCAGTCATTCAATCTTTAATATTACATTCTTTTTCTGAAATCACCTATGAAAGTATGCGACGAATCGAAGGCTATTATTCAATGAAGTTTTCGTTGCTTTCAGATTAATTATCATTAACACGTGATCAATGTTCAAGAATCAGATAGAACAAAATCTTTTCATAATATTATTAAAAATTGTATTATTCTCAACGAAATACTCTCTATATTGTATTACGACTGGTATTTCACTACGATAGAGTATCGAAAAACATGGTTTTTATTCCAGTTATTATAACAATAATATGAAAATAGAAAGATTTTCGCTGTTGCTTCTGTAGTGATTCCAAATAATAGTATCATTATTATTCATGATAATGATTAAATAAGTTTTACAAGATCTGCTTAAATTATTATAGAACAACATAAATTTCAATTATTCATATATACTGACAAATGTTTACAGTTAGTAAGCCATTTTAAAATTAAATGTCTCTTCGATACATATTAACTTCCTGTGAATTTTTAAACTTTATCGTCATCTCATTGTATGACAGCTATAGTGTAATTGAATTCAATAGAAATTCTATAAATATATCTTCAGTTTTGCCTGAAGAAACTAAATATAGGTTTGAAAATTTGTTTCCGGTTCTGTCCGATGTTGGAATTCAGGGAAGGACAGACTAAGCGCCTTGTAGAACATAAACATTATTCTAATGATTTTGTACAATTAGAAATGAAAGAGCGAAACATTTTCATTCATTTACATGGAAACACCGTTTTTATTTATTTCATATTATCATAGAATCAAGATGAGACAGTAGCTCCCATAAAAAATAAATAAATGTAGATGTGATACAAATATGTTTGTATTATTGCTTCATTGGTTTTTTGTTTTCGCTTCTTGTAGAACTTATTTATAAAGAACGATTGCCTATGAGATAGGAGAAGCATTAGCGAAAAAATAACATTTATGGGAGTCGTCAGCAGGCAAAACTGATCAAGAAAGGTGAAGGATTGACATTAATTTAAAAAAGATGAACATCCTTTGTGGATGACAGTTTTGTATCTATTTAAGAATGCACTAAATCCACTTCCAGTCAAATCCAACTATAATCCTTGATTTGAGTTTGACTGAAGTTAGACTTGGAGTTGACTGGAGTTGAATTCAGCATATCTCTTACAAAAGACTGTCAGCTTTCAGTATGAAAACTCGTCAAAGTCAACCAGATTATTATGTCATTTACATCCAGTATTATTTTTCTATCCGATAGTGGTACGTAAGGATCATTCAAAAGTTTCGATGCTCCTCAGTAAATTGATGATGTCTATGACAAACCTACAAATAATTAATTCATCAAAATATATAGTTTTGTAGAGAAAGATTAAAGCTATAATCTGAAAAAAGACACTTAGAAATACACAAATGAAACCCAACGTATTGATTATTTTACTGGACTTTAGTGAATGATTTCATCTTATATTTTTCTCGAAAAATTTTTGACAAGTTCTCTTTCATAATAGCTGTATGTCTTCTCCCCATATGGATTGTAAATAGGACTTATCATTTCACTAGAATAATATTAATGATGTTTGCTGATTATGATTCTAGTTTTATAATACTATTTATATTGTTAAAGACTTTCATATTGAGTCTGATTTTATGAAATTTACTGTTTCTAATTGATTCTCTAATGTGCTAGTTGCTTGAATTTATCGTTCCGACAATTTATACAGTTTTATTTAAACGACTCTTAGTATTCATTTCAAAGCCAAATAGATTATATATGGCCAACAGAAAACTTGTTGGGTATCGCTTAACGCAATATTACTAAATATGAATTTAATTCATTACATTATGCGAAACAAAAAAATGATACATAAAAAAATTTTAATGTAGAAAAATATGAGTAAATGATTAATAGCATTCAACAAATGTTTAAAGCAATCGTTTGACAACATGATCAACACATCACTAAATTTGATTATTGATATTTGTACAAATAGTGAGTCAGACAAACTTATAAATCCTTTCAATCTTTTATTGAAAATTTTTTTTTTAAATTTTTCTCAGAAAATATAAGATGAAATCATTCACTCGAGACTAGTAAAAAAACCATAACATTGGACTTTATTTATGTCTTTCGCAATGTCATTTTCTAGATGATAGTTCTAATCCTTTTTACAATAATCATATATTTTGATCAATTTATTAAGAAGTTTTAGAGTCATCTGTTCATCATATGTATTGTTATTTATATTTTTCTTCTCTTCTTGTCTCTATTCTATCATTATATATATTTTTCCTTTTTTGTTCTCTTGTCGTTGGTATTTTTCCCTTCTACCATCCGATCATATGTGTTGTTCTATATACAGGTATTTTCCTTTTTCTATTTGTCGTCTTCTAACAAGTGTTTTATCCTTTTATATCTACCCTAATTATTTTTCTTTAACATCTAACTACTAACCCTATATAAAGTAGTCGAGATATCGATAATAAAGAGATGAAATACGTGTCGTAGACCTATCTATTCTTAGTTGTTAACTTATCTATATCTATAACCTCACAAATTAATTATATACAGGTTTGTCATAGATATCATCGATTTACTGGATGAGTTCGAAACTTTTGAATTGCCCTTTAGATTTCTTCTAATACAAAGAAAAATTTTCAAGATTTGATAGGGTTTGATGAAGGTTTTTATTTTTTTGTAGTTTTCATCAAATCCTGTCAAATATTATACCTTTTTTCTTATGTTTGAAGGAATCTAGTATCACTATCAAATAAAGTGAATGAAACTGATGAAAGATGACGCAAAGATTCGGTTTGGGTTTGACGAGTTTTCATATTGAAAACCGACAGTCTTTGTAGGAGGTATGCCAGCTCCAGACCAAGTCAAAACCTAGTTTAATTCAGTCAAATCTAAACAAATCTGAGAATTGGATTTGACTGAAATTTGATTTGATGTATCTGTATGTCTATTTGACTTTGCCTTCAAAGAAATATAAAGCTAGTTGAACGGGTACATGTTGCCGGGTACGCAGCGTATTTTGTTTTCTATTTTTCAAAAGAAAACAACGCTATTTATTTAGAAGAAAAACAAAATCACTTAACATTGAAAGAGCATAATGGGCTCCTCTGGAATTTCTCTGTTGATATTGCTTTCTCGCTCTATCTCTATATAGAGTATAACAGAAACATCTTTTTTTTGATCCTATTCTGCAGACACATTGGATATAAGACCTATGTTCATTATTTTTATTGAAGAAGACTTATGTCTTTTCTATCTAATTCAAAACCGATATAATTTTCGTTGTATTAAAATATTAATTAAATATCATTGAAATTGATAATTATATGCACTGTTTATCATTAAATTTTCTTTTCTTTCAAGATATTATAAGTTTTATTGCATAAATGAAGAAATGAACTATTTTAACACATCACAAAATTAATTAATATTCAAATTAACACAAAAAAATTATTTTTATTGTTGAACAAAAAATAAATGACTTGGAGAGTTCACAAAGTCGAATAAATATCAACTTGGCTTGATTCCTGCTCTTTTTGTATTCAAAATCGAAATGTTTACTTGGTTTCGACGTGTTGAGTACGCTATATCAAATATGGCATTTGGTGATCGTTTTGAACACGGGAAAAACCGTAACTTTTGATAAATTTCTGGAAAATTCATCAAACAAATAAAAGGTATAATTAAAGAAATAAAATAGAAAAGATACAACAAGAGTTCTTGTTGTATTATAGATTCTTCGCCAAGATATTCACGGCCTAGAAATACATGAAATGACTCTGAGATTGCATTTGGTAATGTACCAATAAAGTATAATGTTGATATAGATAAAATTTGTATTGTCATTCTTTTATGTCGACGCCATCTTATGATTTGATTACGTTGTCTTTTTCCATAAAAGACACGTATCAATAAAAATAAATTAAAAGAAAATATAAGTATTGAACATAAAATTTTATGGATTATTAAATCTATTGATGATAAAACTATAGCATGATGCACATAACATGCTCGATCACAAAATACTTCATTAAAATCAAAGTGTTCAATATTTGAACAAAATGGACTAATATAAATAACAATAAAATAGAAAATCCATGTATAAATAATTAATATTATTATTGGAGCATAATGAAAGATAACACGTTTTAACTTGTTATTGAATATTTGACGATCATAAAAAATAAATAAATGACGTTCAAATGATGCCCACATCATAAAAAACATTGATAAACCTGATAAAAATGAATCAATAAGGTTCCATGCTAGGCAAAAATTTACACCATTTTCTTTGATACGACCATGATTAAGAAAGTAATATGCCATTGATAGGTCAACGGTTATTAATAAACAATTGGTTATTAAAAACATTAATATAATATGATTATGTAGAGCTTGTCGTAGTTGTGGATTAAATATAAGATGATAAATTAAAAATAAGTGACAAATTATTGATGGAATTTGACATGGAATAAATATTCCTAATTTTATTTGACTGAATATTGACATTTTATATATGATAATTATATGCGATTAATTTTGAACCGACTACAATATATCTTAAAGTATATTCACTTAAAAACACAACAAAAAAGAAAGAAGATGATTAATGTTTCTTATTAGTCATGGTGCCAAAAACAGATATTCTTGTTAAACATATACATAATGACATTGTCAGATTTTTCTACTGGAGCTTTGAACTTATTTCATCATGTGTTTTGAAAATATGATTGTAATATTGTGAAAAAAAAACTAAATAAGTTACATAAAATACACTCATAGTGCAGATATTTTAAGATTAAAGTATACAGAAGTTTTTTTCGAATAATTGTTAACTAATACAAGCTTTCAAAGTAATCTTTGAGACATTGAACTGTGATAAGTATTTTGAATGTTTGAATTTTGTATAAGAAAGACAAGCATTTTTTTTTAATGCTGAGCGTAATACAGATCTAATTCAATATCAAGTCAAATCTCAATTCAGATTTATTTGTACAAAGGAGATTGTTCGAAACTAACAATATATTAATGTTATGGTGGCATTCAATTATATGGTCAGAAACCTTGAGACTTAATAGAACTTTATTACGCATAGACGACTACGATAATAAAATGAATAATATATCTGGTAAATATAACGATTTCTGGATTTGTCATATACAAATATGCTAGCATTTTTTAGCTTGAGCAAATCATGAGCGAACAGTCAATAACAGAAACAATCTGGTACAGCAAACATGTCTCAATATCCTTTTTTAACTTTTCTTTGAGACCTTCTTGTCAAGATTATTAAATAGAGAAATGTACAAATACAAAATAACTAGATATTTTCCATGATAATATCAATGATAAAATGGTACTGAGATGAATTTAATTACAAAAATAGTCGACAATATATTGAAAGTTGTTTTGATTACCATGAAATAGAACATATCATAATTACATTGTCACTATATATTACATATAATTCAGACATTCTATTTCAATGACTTAGTCAATTATTAAAAGAATTCAACGGCATCGTATTCAACACTACATTTAAAATACGACATTTGTTAATGTAGGTTAGTTCAAAATTTGTTTTCATGATTGTCTTGAGTTACAGATATTATACATATATAATAAGAAAAACTTGTTGAAGTAAAGATTTAATATCTATTCTTGTCAGTCGTTTTCTTTTACATGTGTCAGATATAAATTTAGAACAAGTATCACAAGAATTAATTTATCAAATATTTGAATATTTTTGTTTCCTTCAACTGAAATACAATTGAATATTTAATATAAAGTTCTTCTTTCAAATTTCTACAATAGAAAATATTTCAGTTGCTAACTTTTCGAGAAATGCTAACTATAAAATGAACGCAAGTATAACATATTGCATAATTTATGTTCTTTATTTTGCTTTCATGTTCTTTGTGATCTATAATAAGTTTATCATGTGCTCTTAACCCTTTGATGGCGAAGTCGAAATATAGCAAAACAGGCCTGTTCAATATTTGTTGCATTTAAACATAGATGCTACTGATAACAGCTTTGTATCTCTAAATCAATTCTAACGAGGGAACGTTTTCAACTGTCCAATCGCTTTTGAGTTCGAACTATGTGCATAAGGTAGATCCCAATGAAGGATGAAAAATCCCAAAAGAATAACTGCTCTTAGGCCTTCTGTCGAGAG